CGGAGTGGGCCTCAATGAAGTCCGCCGCATGTGCCTCCTCCGACACCCAAACTCAATTAGAAGAGCTCAAAGCAGAATGTGCAATCTTGAAGAGGGTCGTTGCTAATCCAGCCAGCACTTCCTTTGCACATACTCCCTCCCACATCAAGATTAGGGAGCCAACTCCCTATTCGGGTACCCGCAATGCATGAGAGCTCGACAACTTCCTGTGGCAAATGGAACAGTACCTTGCCGCCGCCAATGTGACTGATGAAATGACTCAGATACGTACTGCTACTATGTATTTGACTGATGTCGCTATGTTGTGGTGGCGCAGAAGGTGTGTTGATATAGAATGTGGTACGTGTGTTATCCGTACTTGGGCTGACTTTAAAAGAGAGCTGAAGAGACAGTTCTACCCAGAGAACGTGGAATACCTTGCTTGTCGCAAGATGAAGACTCTCAAGCACGGCGACTCCCTTCATGACTATGTCAAAGAGTTTTCAGCCCTCACATTAGAAGTCACCGATATGTCAGACAATGACTTATTGTTCAACTTCATGGATGGCCTAAAGCCTTGGGTCGAGCTCGAGCTCCAACGACGCAATGTTTAGGACCTTGCCTCCGCTATGGCCGTGGCTGAACAACTTAGTGAACGAAGACTGTCGGATGACGAAGGAAGTAGACCAGCCAGCCCGCGTACTATACATTTGAGTGGGGGAGATAGACAACCAAGTCCCCCGAAAGAGAAGCCACCCTTCAACCACAAACCAGTCGAGCACCACAAAGGGAAGCAGCCACAAGGAAGTCAAAGCCACTACAACAATAGATATCAAGGGAGACCAAGCCGTCCTCCCATTTGCTACATTTGTGGGGAGGAGCACTTCACCAGGAATTGCCCAAAGCGAGCAAAGCTGAATGCCCTCATTGCCAAACTAAGTGATGATGAGCAGAGTGATGGGGAACGGAGTACCTAGGCGCCAAGAGTGGGCGCCCTCCAACTTTTCAATGCCATGATGAAGAAAGGGGCTACCTCCAAACAACCCTCCTCGATCAAGAGAGGACTGAGGTATGTTGATGTAACCATTGGCGGGAGGCCAACCAAGGCCACTCACAACTTCATATCCATTACAGAGGCCAAGAGACTTAATTTGGCCGTTTCCAAAGACCCTGGCTGGCTCAAAGCAATTAACACAGGTGCCAAACCTACTGAAGGCAAGGCTCGCCGAGTAAGACTACAACTTGGCACCTGGGATGGAGAGATTGACCTCTCCGTCGTCCACATAGATGATTTTGATATTGTCCTTGGATTGGACTTCATGATACAGGCAAAAGCAGCACCGGCGCCTCACCTCAACACCCTGATGATCTTGGACGAGCAGTCACCTTGCATGGTTAACATGATCGCCACCGCCAGCACCAAGAAGAAGCATGTCTCTGCCTTGTAACTCCAACACCACCCTCCATCATTGATGGCAGAGAGATCTACAACAACCACCATTGCAACCAGAAGTGATCGCAACAACTCCGGGAAGAAGTCAGTGCCAGTGCCAGCGCCAACGTCAGTGTCTGTGCCGCAACAACAACAACAGCGGAAGCCACCTTTGCAACAGAAGCCGCACACACCCACAACTGGTGGGCCCAATAGAAGACCCAAGGCCGTGTCAAACTTTGCCCACACCTACTACCACAACCACCGGGGAGAGCGAGTGCCACCCAAGCCATTTACGGACCACATTCACATCATCCCTCAAGATAAATCCCGTAGTAGCCTTGTGAGTCACCCTTGGGGAAAAATGCATGGGAACCAACACCCTAACAATCCAAAATACTATTTTGACCCAGCCTTGGCCACCAACTTTCCTACCACCATCAGGAACAAGCCAAAATCCTACCTTGAAGTAGCCAGGCAGGGACTTAACTTAGGGACTAGCCATATGTTTTCCCACCATCAAGAACATCCACTAGCAATCTACCCAACCTACTATCTGGGCCTTGGAAGAAACCCGGTTCGTGGAGCAGTCGAAGAACCTTCCTTCACCAACAACAAGTTCAAGCCTCAAGCGGTAGCTAGTCTTCGAGGACGAAGACTGAATTGAGTGGGGGAGACTGTAACAAGTGTTCTCTTCGTCGTGCCATCAAGTGCCATCCATCGTGCCTACAGCCGCCACTCCAGCCTCCAAGTGTGTGTCATGGGTGGGCTATGCATGTATTTTTGTATGGGGGATTGCCAATGGCATTATTGTAATACTGTAGTATGCTTTTTCACCTTTTTGATGTTTCTTATTGTCACTCCCCCAAAAGCTTAACATACTTTTTGAGGGGAGGTAGGTAGTCAAGTGAGCTCATAAGTGTGTAAAGGTTAAGCACGAGATCCCCTCGACACTGTACTGTGTGCTTGTGCTTATCACTGATTAATGCAATACAAATAGCCTTTTGCTAACTCGTGTGCCATCTTGTTGCCTTTTGTGTGTGTTTGCTTTGTTGCGTAGGCTTACTCGTCCCTTTCGAGTGTCGCACGGGGCCCCAACGATTAACCCCGTGACAATGTGGCATTTGTCTTTGTCGCTTGACATCTCAACGTTATGTGGATAGTTGTGTATCTCGCCAATTCAAGGAGATGCACCCCAGAATCGGTCCAGGGCACCTCATACATAACTCGAGCACATCAACAGGGCACCTCATACATAACTCAGGCACCTTAGCAGGGCGGCTAGCAACACCTCGTCTGGGACCGACTTGTGGTACCTCTAGTACCTCATTGTTACTAGTCCAAAGGACCTTGGCATGTGAAGTAACTTCCCTCAAGTACTTGTCGACATATGGTACCTCATCAGTACCGGTCCAAGGGACCTTGGCATGAGGAACCACCTCCCTTAAGGACTTGCCGACCTAACTGAGGTCTAGGTGGCAACTTGTGAGATGTGCTTGTCGACCCACAAGGTTGCATGCAAGCAACCCGCAGTCAACCCTCCTACTACGGTGAACCCGTAACGCACCACAAGCCCTGCGATGAACTCACAACGCATATCGCAAAACTACGATAGACTAACGGTTCACCAAACCCACTCGATGCGTGAACCAAAGGAAACCACGGTTGAACCCATCCAAGGGTCCCACGCCCGTTCGAACGTGCGATAAACTCACACCTGCTAAATCATGCGATAAACCCATGGCTTACGAGCCCACTCGCGACCCAAACTGAGACAAGCCTAGGCTGAACCCATGGCGAGGCCCATGTGTGCCCAGACCCAACGTGGAACCTACAATGTCAAAAGATATAGCGAGATGCCACGTGGGGTTAACAAAACATCGCCCTCCAAGCAGTGACGTCATTAATGGAACGTCAATTAAGTTAAATCGCGCAAGATGTAGTAGCACATGTGAGTAATAAGGAATCTTGAGAAGAAGGAAAGCCGATCCTCGAGAAAATCCTAATGAAACGCATGGCGAAACCCCAATGGCACATTTAATGATTAATAGCAAATCCAATATTCCCTTTTCCGATACGTCACGAGTACCTTTATCTCCTACCTTTTAGGATATTGGGATCTCCCCCATAAATAGAGATCCTCTTCGTATTGGGGGGACCGAACTTTTTTTGCATCCAGCACCCAAGCACTCTTTCACTTTAACCCCCTTACCCTAGCATCCTTAGCCTAAAAAAGCCAATTTCCTTACTCACCAGCCTCTCTCTGTCTTTTAAAGAGACCACTTCCACCCAAGCCTTACTCCCACCTACAACTCCCACACCGAATGTTCCAGAGGAAGGCATAGAAGTCTAGTCAGCATGCGAAACTACCTCCGAGGATTTTGGACCGATTTGTCACGTTTTCCCGGAGATCTTGGACATAGTGCGTGAAGCTTGCACCAAAGAATGCTTATATAAAGGTCTCACTTCCAACCTCATAAGGTAAGCGCGATTTAGCACTCAAGCTCTCTCTCTCTCTCTCTCTCTCTCTCTCTTGCTTTCTATCCCTCAAAAACTCCAACTTGTTGACTTAAGCATTGGAGTGCCCACACCGTGTAAAAGTAGCCCGAGTACTATGATCTTCTCTCTTTCTTTGTAGCTTCACCAAGCGACCTACATAGTCCAGTGTCCAATCCTCCAACAAGGAGCTAGCAGATCACACACCATCAGTAATAAATACCCCCTCTATTATAGTTCTATCAATTAATTTTGAAAACGATTATCATTCAGCTGTTTAATTTTTTTAAATCCCCAGGTGACAATTTTTTATTTTGTTTGTACGATTTATGATTTGATTAATTTTCTAAATATAATATTGGAACCCTCTTGATAACTACAATAAATCCCTATAGATTCTTGATTGGATTCAATATTCGAATTAAGTGGTTGTAGTAATTTATAGTTTTTCTTATAGATATAAATTTATGGTTTCATTTGTTTCTTCTTGATTTATCGGAGAAAGGAGTGGATTTTTTTTTTTATATTTAAGATGATGAAAGAATAAAAACATACACCGCAAGAATCAAATCCAAATTCAAAGTTTAGATATACATTTTGATAATTTAATGCATTTCGTCATTTCACTTCTTGCAAAGTAAAAATTTCAGGGTTTTTATCGCAAATGAAATTTAAGGCTATATTTGGTTTGAAGGAAAATATAGGAAAAGAAGAAAAACCTTTTCAAACCTTTGTATTTATTTCCGTGTCTTTCCCTTCTTTTTCCTACCTTTTTGTTGAAACCAAACATAGCCTAGTGGGTATTTCTCATACATGTTTCAGTAACCCATATTACAGGGTGTAAATGTAATTTACCCAAACATAAATATCAGACAGACAGACACTCGGAACGAGGAAATCATGGTAGACAAATTCAAAAGAGAATGCTGGTACAAAATATAATGGGCCAGAATCTGCCACGTAAACGACCTACTATGCCAAAATGTTCCGGAATGTTCTGGACCACCTTTCTATTCCATATTCTAGAACTCCATCCAGATATTTTTCGGCTTCTTCCTCAGTTCTTGTATAAATTCAGAGCCTTTCCCACCACATCTTTTTCGTTCTACTCTACGTATTATATTTCAGTATCGACGGGACCCAGTCCAACTCCGACTCCGTGGCCATCCAACTTCTTTCCGTTTTCTTCTTCTTCTTCTTCTTCTTTTTCAGTTCTTGCCTGTTGTTTGGCGATATTGTTTCCTTTAATATGGAGTGGTTCGTGGGGATGAATTCTGATCAATCTTCGACTTCTTATTACAACGTTCTCGGTGTCGATAAGAATTCTTCTGTCACCGACATACGGAATGCGTACAGGAGGCTTGCGATGGTATAATCTTTAACCTCTCTCTCTCTCTCTCTCTCTCTAGCGATGATATAGTGTTGTAACAAAATTAAACCATGTTTATTTGTATTTCAGCAATGGCATCCGGACCGGTGGACGAGAACCCCATCGCTGTTAGGAGAAGCCAAGCGCAAATTCCAACAAATCCAGGAGGCTTATTCCGGTAATTATCTACCTTGATCATTTGATCCAAATGGCCTCTTCCTGGATAGATTTTTTTTTTCTTATTTACTTGTTTAAGTGGCTTTCTGATCTTTGCATGTTTCTCCGTGACCGTGTGGATGCAGTGCTATCGGATGAGGGGAAAAGAACAATGTACGATGCCGCTCTCTGCTATGACCCAGATGATGAAACAGAAGATGAGGTCCGAATTTTGAAATTATCCCTCGTAATTATATTAATCCGAATAACTACTCATTTAGACTTCTACTTCTCCTTGACGACTGTGGACGGAGTTTCTAACGATTTGCTCTCCTGCTACTCTTCTTGCATTGCAGGGACTTACCGATTTCGTGCAGGAGATGCTCTCGCTCATGGCCAACGTCGGGAGAGAGGTATGCCCCAAAACTAAAACCCCTGGGCCTGGCTATTATGAATTTGCTCCGATTTCCAGATTCCATGGGTCCCACTTCCACCAAAACATAAACCAAATTGGCGGTTTCAAAGTTCGGAGAAGTACGGATACATCCGAGGCAGAATTCTGAATTCCAGCCCCCTATTATTAGCCCTCTTTTCCTTATAATTTACGGTCAGATGCATTATGGAAGTATAAAATTCTGATCTAGCCTGATTGGTCATTCTCCCTTGAAAGTTTTTTCTTTCTGGTTTTGTACGTATAGTTTGCTTTCTTGAACCCGCGTGCGTGTGGGCGAGAGAGAAAACGTGTGTGCGTGTGTGGTGGGATGGATCATGGATCACTTCCACCGTTCCACGTTTTTTCCACCGGGGACCAGACCAGATTCCCGAATAGTGAAAAGTGAAAACCCACACACAACCACTGAAGTCTGTGCACTCACAGTCACTGACAAGTGACAAGCAACCATCGCCATTCATCATCATCACCTTGCCAGAAAATATCTCTTTGATCCCGAACCTTCTCGAAAACATGGGCCCCACTGGTATAAAGAGACCATTTCACTTTCAATCACTTTCGTGGATATTTTCGTCAGGAAAGATCAATGCTCTGCTCGTAGTTATATACGGTGATCCACGTTACATAACCACAATGAATGAACATGTAATAGTTGTGTGACATATATACTTTTCATTTAAACCTTTTTGTTTCGTTAAATAGAAATTATTTATTATTTTATTATCTTTATTAAAATAGTTAAAAATAAAAAATAATAAAAAAAGAAAACGTAAATAAGTTTCAATTCTTAATATATTTAATTTTTTTTATTATTTTTACTTTTTATTATTTTGATAAAGATAATAAAATAATAAATAACTTTTGTTGACCAGAATAAAAACGTTTAGATGAAAAATACATTAACTGACATGTGTCATACAGTTATTACGTCGAGTGGATGTCACTTGCCACTTGTCAGTCCTATCCGTATGCATTACGGATATGGATATCACTCAAACAAATTTCTAACAATATATATATATATATATATAACAAATTAACATTATGTCTGTGGCTACAGGAGAAATATTACAGCATGAGCGAACTCCAGCAGATGTTCCTGGAGATGGCCCAGGGGTTCGAGTTCGGCGGAATCAAGAATCCACCTCAGAGGGTGGTGGTATTAGATGAGCCCTCCTCCTCAAGAGCCTCAAAGTGGGAATCAGCAGAAAGACCCACTCTGGAAACGGATTCCCCGTCCCAGTCCCAAATCCAAGTCCCAGGCCTGGAGATGTTTGGAAGAACCAGCCTCTGCAATTGATTGATTTTTCATGAAGAGGAAGAGGAGACCTCCTTTTGGTTGATTGCAGAGAGCTTTACCTTAGGAAAGGCCGATTTATGGGATGGGGTTGGATGTGTAATAGAGTGATGATCCGAAGAATTTTATGCTGGTTGGGCGCAGTTGGATTCGAACAAGCAAGAGAGACGCATTGATTTGTTTTACAAAGGATCGCACGAGTTGCTCAACTGTTGATGTAACCCATTTCTATGTCAGTTCATATCTGCTTCCACAAAATATTAAAACCTGCAAATTAAGTGCTCTGTTTTTTTATTCTGTTCTTGCTAGTGGTACAAATTTCTTCCGGAATCAAAATCCATGGCCATGTGAAATGATACATTAACCATTTGGGGTAGCAACTTATTAACCATACGGTAGTAGGTCCTTTGTATTTTATTTTGGACGACTTTTCCTGAACCATGAATGGTGAATTTAAAATTTAAGGCTCTGTTTGGAAAGAGTACAAATAATATGTACAGTGAAATTTTGTATTATTTTGTATGTATTTGCACTGCATAAATATGTTCAGTGCATTATTCTCAAATTAAGCCAAATGTGATGATAATTTTGTTCTTTTTAACTGATGCAAAATTTATACTTTTTCTCATTTACATTGATTATTACTTAACTATATTTGCAGTATTTTTTTCTGAACAAGCCCCTGGAGCTAGGCTAGATCAATTCATCAAATCATCAAGGGAAAATCAAGAGGGATAGACCACGTAGTAGTCCAAGAGATAGAACAGCCAAAATTTGCAATACAATGTTCTACTTTATTCCCTGTACGAGGGGTATAGGAGACTCAGTGTTGAACAACTGGCCTAATTACCAATATTCCTTGGAGCAATTTTAGTATTCTTGGTAATTGAATATTCCTTTTTATTGTGAAAATATTGGTATGAGATTTCTCTCCTTTCTCGTACTTGTTTTCTTTTAAAAGTGTGAAACCATGATAATCTCCCCTCATCACAAAATTGGGGATCGCCTGTCGTGGAATAGGAGGTATTTTGTTCTTTTGTCACATGGTATTAGAGCATATAGGAACATGTGTTGTCGATTGAACTTTTTCTTTAAGCATCATCATTGCCTTCTCTTCGCTACCAACAGGTGTTGTGCTCTATTTTTTGTAGCGGTCTCAAGGTATTACCTGTTCTCATTAAATTTTAATTTGTTTAAAGTTCTGCCCTATTTTTTGTCATGGACCAAGTTTTTGCACAAAGTGACACCAGTTTCAAGGTTAATATCATACCGTTGAATGGACTTAATTATTTGTCTTGGGCTAGAGGAGTTACAATTGCTTTAAGAACAAGAGAAAAAATAGGTTTTATAAATGGAGAAACTGAAGCACCAAAAAAGGGTGGTCCTAAGTGTGCTGAATGGGAGATGAATGATCAACTAATTATATCTTAGATGGAACCAAAAATATATGATATTTTTTCCTATGCTTAAACGGCTAAAGGCTTGTGGTATTCTCTTCGTGATATGTATGGACAACAAAATAATGCTTCAAAAATATTTGAGATACAACAAAAACTAGTTCAAGCTAAGTAGAGGGACAAATCTTTCACTGACCATCTTGCATTTATGAAGAAAAATGGGATGAACTTCATCAGCATCGTCCTCCAACAACTGACCCAAAAATTTTGCAAAGTAGAGAAGAGGAAGATAAAGTTTTTCAATTACTTGCTAGTCTGAAACCTGAATATGAGTTCTTGAAAAGACAGTTATTAGTGAGCCAAACTACTTCCCTAATACTAAAGGAATAGGGGAACTGGTAGAAAACAATGCTTTCAATGCTAAATATGATTCAAAAAACTCCACTTTATCTAGTGGAGAAGGACCCAACTCTACCAAGGTGTGTAGAAATGATAATTGTGTGTATTGTGATCATTGCAAAAAACTTGGACACATGAAAGAAAAGTATTGGATCCTATACTCAAACCTCTTTGGAGATAATTACTCAAATGTTATAGCAAATCATTCAATATTTTGGTCAGCAGTTCTTGGCTCCGACCACACAAGACTCTTCTACTTCTGTGGTTCAAAGTTCTCCTAATATCTTTACCTTTCTTTCTCTTTCTAGCAACTCTACTTAGATTATTGATTCAGGTGCAATAGATCACATGTGCAATAACTCTACTTATATTTATGATATCTACCCTATTAAACAAACTATCTCTATAGCCAATGGGGATTGCATTCCTGTTCAAAGAATTGGAAAAACTCAACTACTTTCATCCAATTCTGATGTCATGCTCATTCCATCACTCTCTTCAAATTTGTTATCAGTAAGAAGAATTACTAGAAAATTGAATTGCAATTTTAAATTCTCTCTTCATAATGTGACATTTTAGGATAGAACCACGAGGAAGATGATTGGTGAAAGACATCTCAGTCATGGTCTATATTATTTTGATCACCAGAAATTAGCTCTCAAGGCTAATAACACTCATGAAGATGTTTCTCAGGTATAGCACAAAAGATTGAGACACCCATCAGATAAAGTGCTACATCTCTTTCATCCCACTCTTTTTTTTTTATTATTCTAGTAGTTGTGAATTTGTTATTTGTCTAAACAACATAGATTTCCTTTTTCCGTAGCTTACATCTTTGTGAAAAACCATTTGAGTTAGTACATTCTGACTGGTGGGGGCCATCACCTATTAATTTGCAGGAAGTTTTTAGATATTTTTTTTTACTTTCATTGATGATAAGTCTCAAACCATTTGAATTTATTTTCTGAAATCTAAAAGTGAAGTGATGAGTGTTTTCAAAGTTTTTTTCCAAATGGTTCTTACTCAGTTTAATACTCGGATTAAAGTCTTTAGAATTGAGAATGGTACTATGTATGATAACAAACCTTTGGCATCGTACCTCAAAAGTGAAGGGATCATTCATGAAACCTCTTGTGTAGGAACTCCTCAACAAAATGGAGTTGCTAAGTGGAAAAGTAAACATTTTTTTGAGGTCACTAGGTCACTTATGTTTCAAATGAATCTTTCAAAATGCTTTTGATTAGATGCGATTTTAGCTAGTTGCTATTTGATCAATAGGTTGCCTAGTAGAGGTCTCTCACCTTTGGGTTTTTGGGTGCATTTGTTTTGTTCACCTATATGATGATGGAAAACTTGATCAATATGCTTCTAAATGTGTCTTCGTTGGATATTCTTCTATAAAAAGGGGTATAAATGCTATAATTCCAAAACTAAGAAATTATATATCCCCAGAAATGTCTCGTTTGTTAAGAATGAATCATATTTTCAGAAATCTTTGGGTCAAACTCAAGGGGAAAATTATGGTGAGTTTTCTCCTTTTTCCCTTTTTAGTGAAGATATACATTTGAATGACATTACAGATCAAATAATTGAACAAATAAGTGAGGACAAAGATATTAACGAAGAAGGTCCTCCAATCTCTACTCAAGAAGATAGTGTTGATCCTATGGAACCCATGGTTGAACCTGAACCTGATCCTAAATTATAATCACATACACCATTCAAAGACCAAAATATTCCTCGAAGGTTATCGTGTGTTCATTAACCTTCTGCTAAACTTCAAAACTTTTACACATATCATGCGGCTTCCTTCCCTATTCAAGACTATGTTTGTTATGATAATATATCTTCTTATCATTTGGCCTTTCTAACTTCCATCAAAAAGCATGTTGAACCATCTAGCTATGATGAAGCTAAGAACCATCCAATATGGAGGAAGGCCATAGATGAAGAACTTCAAGTCCAGAAATCACACGTGGGATATTGTGCCATTACCAAAAGGAAAAAAGTTCATAGAATGTAGATGGGTCTACAAAATCAAGTACAAGAGTGATGGTTCTCTAGAATGTCATAAAGCAAGGTTGGTGGCCAAAGGCTACATTCAAACTTATGGGGTTGACTACAAAAAAACATTTGCTCCTGTTGTAAAAAATGCATTCTTACATGCTTATATCCGTTATGGTGAATTATGATTGGCATCTCTTCTAAATGGATGTAAAAAATGCATTTTTACATGATGACATCGAAGAAAAAATTTATATGAATCTCCCTCCTGAACACCCATAGGAGTCTCATAACGGCTTGGTGTGCAAATTAAAAAAATTAATATATGGTCTCAAACAGTTTCCTCGAGCCTAGTATACCAAACATAGTTCAACACTTATGGCTCTTGGTTTTATATGAAGTGTAGCTGATTCATCTATGTACATTAAAGGAAGTGGTTCAACATCTATTATTGTTCTAATCTATGTGGATGGCATAGTTATTACAGGTGGCAATATTCTTGGTATCTCTAAACTTAAGGAACATCTTGGGAAAACTAAAGTATTTTTGCTCAAGTAAAGGTTTGTTTATTTCCCAAAGAAAATATTCCATCGATTTGTTAAAAGAAATAGAAAAATTAGGAGCAAAACCAGTTATAACTCCTATAGATTACAAGGGAAAATGCAACTTTAATAATAAACCTTTGAATGATAAGGCAAGATTCCAGAGACTTGTTGGATGATTAATTTATCTAACAATTACTAGACCATACATTCCTATTGTGTCACCTTTTTTAACCAATTTACGCATGATCCTAAAGAGGAACACATGGAAGTTGTAGATCAAATTTTACAATATCTCAAAGAACCACCAGGAAGAGGAATTAGGATGAGAAAGAATGGACATACAGAAATATAAGGATACTCAGGATCACCAGGAAGAAGAGTTTGGATGAGAAAGAATAGACATACAAAAATACAAGGATACTCAGATGCAGATTTGCTTGGCAATCAAATGGAAAAAAGTACACATTGAGATATAATACACTTGTTAGGGGAGATCTTGTTACTTGAAAAAACAAAAAAAACAAAATGTTATATCTCACTCAAGCATAGAAGTTGAATCTAGAGTCATGGCCTCAACGGCTAGTGAATTAATTTGGTTGCAATCTCTTCTAAATGATTTAGGGATTGCATCTGATATTTTGTGACAATCAAGCAACTATACGCATAGCCACCAATCAAGTTTTCCATGAAAGAACTAAACAAATGGAGGTCGATTGTCCAAATTAGGCTCCATAGATATCTTTACTAAAGGTGACAAGGGACATTTCTAACAAATTTTGTCCAAATTAGGCTCCATAGATATTTTTAGCCCCAACTTAAGGGAGAGTGCTGAACAGCTAGCCTAATTACCAATGTTCCTTATCATTTATGGAACAATCAATGTTATTATTCTTAGAAGTTGAATATTCTTTTATATTGTGAAAATATTGTCAAAAGATTTCTTTCTTTTCTTGTACTTGTTTTCTCTTTAACGTAAAACCATGGTAGCAGTTTCCTTTCTTTTACTTGTTTTCTCTTTAAAAGAGTGAAACCATTGTGGTCTCCCATGACAGAATTGGGGATTGCCTCTGGTGGAGCAGGTCTTAGTACCTAACCACGTTAAATTTCTGTGTTCTTTGAGGGGTTTGTGTATTTTGTTCTTTTGCCATACAGAGTGAAACTTGAAAACCCTGTAATAGTACAATTGGCTATAATGCGGTGAAGCAACCAAGGGACCTCGGATTGGACATCCAACAGGATCTTAGAGCAACGGATTAATCAATTCCACGTACGTAAACAAAATTCAAATTAATTAAACCCAACGATCTTTGTTTGTCAAAGTGAATACAAAGTCATCCAAATCATCTAAATGGTTGGGTAAATGATAAAACATATGACCTTTGCCATTGACAAAGCCGGATATCACCTATTCAAAATCTAAGCCATCCAAATAACATCTTCCTGAAATCAGTTAATGAAATATTAAGACTCCAAACATCACAACCTTCTCTAGTCATATCTACCACCCCATCATTTCCCACACATCACCCAATTAACCTATTTGATCTCCCCCATTCACCCTCACCTCACCTCTCCCTATTTCATCTCAACTACAATTCTTATGTTCTATACATATATAGTATGATTGTAGTTCTGTATAAGTAGGATGCCATATTCAACTTTATTTTCTTTGAAATTGAGGTCATAAAATTAATAAAAAGAGGTTGAAGGGTAACCCATTTATCTTATATACTTGTTTATTCGTATTTAAGAAAAATTAGGAAGAAAAACAAAAGCATATGATCCATCAATTGGAAGGAGTTATGGCTCAATTTGGAAGGAGTACATATACAACCTTGTATTTTGTATTTTGTATTATTTTTTATGTATTTGTACAGATTTTGTTTCATTAATTTATATAGTCTTGAATAATTCATTTTAAAAGTTTTTAAAGATTTCTTTTCCTCCTTATTTTTTCTTTTTAGTCTTTGATCAACTTTATTTTTTACTTGAAAATTGATTTTAATATTTAAAAAAAGAAAGAATCGCAGTACTAAATCATTTTAATTGATTGTAAATAGCGATATTCTTTAAATAAAATTTAACATTTTAAAAGTTAGTGTAATACATGACACCTATAAAGAGAATTTATAAACGATCGATGACATGATGCTGCAAATAAAAGTTACAAAAAACAAAATTTTCATGGTGTTTACTATTTACTCATAATACCCAAAAAGGTATTTACTTAAAAATAATAATATTTAACAATTAATAAAATTTATTTCTATCATAATTATTAAATATTAGAGGACCAACATGTGTGGATGTACCAACTTCTAATTCTTAAGCCCTATTCCAATCCCCCCTCAAAAAAAGAAAAAAAAAAAGACGACAAAACAAAATTAAATTACACCAATGAGTGATTAAATAATTTCTATCATAAAGACAAAAGAGCATTACAGACTTCAACACAAAAAAAAGAGCGACCATTTTATACAGACATAAGGAGGAAGACGAAAGGAAACATACAACTTGCAAAGGCAGAGAGATAAGAGTGTAAGATCATATCTGCTTCGAACTCCCTAACATGCATACAGCACAATTTCAAATGGGAATGGCATTAGTTACGGATGGGTACACCACGGTGGCTGGATGAGCCATGATACGGCGGCCTTTCATGTGTCGGAAGATGTACACCACCGCCCCCACAGGCCACTCCACCGCCGCGGCAGCGACGAACGCCAAGAAGCCGAGGGTCGGACCCACCACCTTGCACCGACAAGGGTTGCTTGTGCTCCCACATTCAACACATATAGGAACTCCGACTCCAATGGTCATGATTGCTCCGATACTATCGTCGACGAACACCAAACTGACTGACCTTAAATTGTGAAGAGAATTTGATAAAAGAAAAGACCAAGCTGCTGCTGTAAATCCTAAAACGTACGTCCAAGTTGCCGGACTGCAGTATTTATGTAGCTGAAACTGGTTTTGACACGGCGGTGAAGTTTGCTCAGGAGGGGTGTCCTCCGAAACTGGTTTTGACACGTAAACATGTCGCTGAAATATTAAAGTGGTGAAGTCTTTACATTACAAGGATGTGCTACGTGTTGATAGGTGAGAAGATAAGTTAAAAACGTGTCAATAAGGAGCCACCCTGGTTTGACACGTAGGTTTCTCTGCCCATTTAGCCAAACCCAGACGTAAGATCTCTTGATTCCCAATTGTCTAGCCTATCGGCGACCGCCGGACCACGATGTTTTTTTCCTTTGTAGTTGTCGGAGCGCAAACAAGGCCTCTACAAGGCACATGGGCCTTTGATCCCTGGCCCACGTATACACAGTGGGAAACCACCATTGATTTTGAATGGGTCCCAATCCCAATAAAGGCAAAGGGAGTGAGAACTGAGAGGAATTTGTTGAGCCAGATGACCTTAACCATTTGTCTTAAACAAAACTTCAAATGGCAAACAACCATTGCAAACACGGTTTAGCAAAATTCTGTTCTCTTGTGCTTACTGAATACAGAAAAACAAAACCATTTTCCACAGCTACAGTTGGCCTAGTGTGAAATGAACCTAAAAGGATTGAACGGGCTCCAGGCCCAATATTGGGTTTGGTTAAGTGTGTCAAGCTCGGGCCCATCAAAGGGCCATACCACGTAGTAATTTTTCTAATGGTTATTATAATTTCCCAACACTGAAATATTGGTTACTATTTGCTGAGGTGGATATAATTGCTGAGCTCCATCAATCACCATCACTAATGTATATGCTGCTACACCATGCTCCAGAATTGGCTTCTCTTGCGACCATGTATTAATCTACGTCATCTTTCGGATAATTTAGAACATGGTAATGTTATTGGCCAGATGGCCATCTTTCTGTATAATTTGATGGGATTTGCCACAACTGAACTCTCAGCTGTGGGACCTCAACTTTGAAACATGCATGGGACTGGTGGCAAGTTATGAGGCCCCACTTGTGTCCTAGTTAGTCTGCAGTCTGGAGGTCCATTTGTGAATTGTGATGGCTTTAAGCCCAACCCACCTTGAGACGGGCTACCCCCAGTAATATCCACCGGCCACTCCCTCCTTTAACATGTCCGGCCGGCCTCCAATGTATGTTGATTTTGATGACTGCATTGATGAGTTTTAGTGGTGGAGATGAGATTCATGGTATGATATTAAAAGTATGCATCAATCTTACGGTTGAGGTGTGTTGATTTAGTAACAGTTTAACAAGTACCCTTCGTCTAACTTTAGTCATCCCAAGGTGAGTAATTTACCATTCCAATTGCCAGACTGCATCTTGACATCCGAATAATGGCCTTTGAATGATTATGCGATGAATGCAATCAAATTCCTACTGCCTTCCCACATTATTGGCTCATCTTGGACACTATGTTGTGTTTGGTTTGAAGAAAAAAGTAGGGAAAGTAGGTTTCCCTACCTTTCCCTACTTTTTCCAACCTGGAGAGAACACGCAAGACTTTACGAGGCACAGTCTTGTGTATCTCTTCAACTCCAACCTGTTGAGATTTTATATCAGCTGCAAAGGGATAAGCTAGGAAGATAAGGAGGAATGGGAGAGGATATTAGAGATTTGGCAAGGGGATAGGCCTAATGGGGGCTCACTTCATGGCTGAAATTAGAGGATAGGTCTAGTGAGAGTGATGGCCTTGCATGTCCAAAAACCGAAAAAAAAAAAACACTGTAAGGCTCATCTACGTATTTTTTGGGGGAGAGAGAGGGTATTAAGCACCCCTAAAAATCTTAACAAATAAACACCTTGCCCAATTTCAAGTCGCATGTGTTGTAATCACTTCACACTGATAGAGTAATTAATTTCTTGAACCATTCGATCCATCAAGGCACCTTCAAAGAGCTCCATTGAAGCAAAGAGAAGGTGAGGCTCCCTCCACTTATCTTTTTTATTCAAGAAGACTTCTACAAGTAATGCTTCATTCAGAAATGCTTGGGTTGAAGCAAAACAGTTGTGAAATCTCCTCCCAACCATTTTTTATCCTCCCTTAACCCTCCTAGTAAACATATGAGCTGAAACGATTAAGGAACTAAACACCTCCCATGGGGGATTTCAAAAACTAAGACTTCACAATGAAGATAAAAAAAAAAAAAATCAACATAATGAAAATCATGGTAGCCATAAAAATTTGAGAATTTCAGCATTACAACAATTCAGGTTAGGCCAAAAAAATGTTTAGGAAATTACCAAATAATCATCATGAAACACCAATGAAAATTTCATGCATGCTCTCTTACATTTAACTAACTAAACCCAATCAAGATCAAGGATTGAACACTAGTGACAAGAAAGAATACGAAATTCTAATAAGATTAATGAAAAGCTAAATTGAATCGGATGAGTAACTCACTTTTTTGGGGCCTTTGATCAAATAGGTAAAATGGGTGTAGGAAAATTGTGTTGATAGCCAAAATACCTTGGGAGTTTAACACAAGGGATGGGCTTGGATTTCTGAAATCTTCAAGTATATTCTCCTTGAAACCACCCTAGATCAAATTAAATACCATTTAGTTTCTTCAAGGAAGAGGCCATGCAGGCGAGACTTTACAATGAGGGTAGCCGAGATTCGTTGCAAATTTCAGGAACGACTTCAAGGAATCATGCTGAAACAATGACGTGAGATTCAGACTTGGCTTTGACCCAAGATTCAAGTAAAGGAATTGAAAAACCAGGTTTTATACTGAATTCTCGTAACGTAAATCAGTTTAGAATAAAAAGTTAAAATCAGTTAAAGATATAGGTTGATACGCCCCAATCTGATGGTAAAGTCTCTAACTGGTTATAGCGGAGATCCAAGGGTTTGGGGAGGGCCACCGCCTGTTTTGTAACCCGTTACCCAAATTGACCCAATTGAATCCGGTTTATTGGAAATACTCATCCAGATCAATCCGGCCGGTTTGATCACACCATTGACCCAATTGACCTTTCTTTTTCCTTTGGATTTTCGACTTTGTTAAGGACCCAATATAATTGTACAACATGATAAATTATAAATAAACTGAGAAAGGTTATCATAAGTTACTGTAGTCCAATATTCTACCCACAGACCAAAGGTTGGATAAAAAAATATGGCCCTTCTAACCCATTCTAGCTAGCTGCCGGCCCATTGATAGAGTGTTATGAAATCCCTCTTGCAATAATATTTCATCACCAAACAATAATTCTGTGTACAGTTATGTCAACTATATAGTATTTATTGTTGGTCTTACTTTATAGCACGCTAACGCGTTGGTGTATTTATTACCTATTTTTTCTATGTGGCTCATAAAAAACTATTCAATAATTGGATGAATATCATGTGTATCATTTAATATTCTAATGTAAGAATAAGGAGTAAGGATTCTGGTTGGCAAATTCTAGACTCATCATCTACAACCGGAGTCTCTCTCTCTCCGTCCATAACCACACAAAATCTCAGTAGTTAGTACTTAGTAGCAGTTGCCTACCGGATGACTTTTATTTACAACTGTACATGCACCGAACGTATATAAAAATGAATATTCTTTCAAACACTTAATCTTCCCAGTACCCTCTTATTAAATTCTTCCCTAAACCATTATTTCTCCGTTATCAAACAACCGGAAAAACGTCGGAAGAGGAAGATATTTGGCCACATTAATGCCGGAATGTTGCCGAAATCACTCCAATCCGGCCGTCAGATGCTGTTGGCTTTGATTCTAGTGATCATCGTGACGACTCCTACCATCAATGGCTCGACCTCTGAAAAGCTAGGTCAGAGCTCGGTGCCTGCCATACCCAATTCGGAAATCAAGTGTTCAACGTGTCCATGTGATGCATGTAATCATCAGCAGTCTCCTCCACCTCCGCCACCACCGCCTCCTCCACAGGATCCGTCCACAGAATACTGCCCTCCGCCACCCCCGCCTTACTTGCCGGCATGCACAAAGTGCCTTCCACTTCTCTCAGCGCCTCCGCCTCCGCCTCCGTTGTTTTATGTAACGGGTCAGTCAACGTATTTGTATCCCATTGACCCAAACTTTTCAGGAACTGGCCGCATTTCTGGTGTAGCAACGCTAGTTTTGATTGGATGTGGATTGTTAAGTTTGATTATGCTTTGTAGATTGTAAAATCCATGCTTAATTAATGTTTGAGGGATTTTAATTCCTGGCTAGCAGCTCTTATTGGTTTCTTCGATCCTGTAAATTGTGAAATTTGGTAGCCATTTCTTGTTTCTCTCAATTCTAATTAGGACTTCGTGGATTATAGATTTGGGTACCTTCTCTTCTCTGCAATTGGTATTAGCTCAGTTCAAGAAGATAAGAAAAGAAATTTTCAATTTTCCACTCCTATATGTTTGTTTGGGTGATATTCAGAAGAGACATAAGAGATAAAATCTAACCAGCTGGTTGAGGAGAAGAATGCTGAAGACTTCTGACTTCTCCTCTGGGTTTTCTTTGAATCCAACTGCAAGTGTTGGGCAGGGGGAGATGGGTTCCAAACTTCCAATGAGGTGGCCTAATCATAACACCCACAAGGAACACCATTGATCAAGGTTGAACTTGAACATGTGCGTTTTGATTACAGTAAAATTAGGTAAGTATGTGAGATGATCAAAATCCTTTCTTTAATAAGTAAACAAAATGATTGGATTAATTTGCCAATGAAAATTAAAAGAATACACTGCAAGATAGAAACAAGAAATTGATGGTTAGATGTTACATCATCAATATTGATATTGATATTTAGGTAAGTTTGGAGGTGATAAATGATGGATCCTGACGGCCATAATTTCATGGGACATATGGTAGTTGAGAGAAAGCCACCTAGCTAGCTGCTCTAATGATGTCTGCACCATCATTTTAGCTCTACTGGTTTAATTATAAACACCGATTTTTTAGAGTAATCTGCCCATGAGAAAGCCACATTTTCAAATTTAATAGAGAAGGGGTGTAATGTAAAGGAACCCTTCACAGGTGGCAATTTGTCTGACCAGGTTGGAGTTAGCGTATAAAGGGGTATTGGGCTGGTCCAGGCCCCATCAGACCAGGCTATTATTCCATAGTTGACTACATCCTATGAGACCAAGTAGGTGTTTGGGATTGATGCCGTTTTCT